TTAACTTTAAGCTTCAATATTCTCCTGATGTTTTCTCCCTCCCAGAATGCCGTGGTTGGAGCCATGTCCAAACTGATATCTTTCCGCCAAAAAGTAACTACACTGCTAAATATGTTTGATGTTGGTCAAGGTGTTACTGAGGCACTTGTAATCGTGGCTGTTTTTTGGTGATGGTGGTGATTGTTCATTTTTCGCAGTAACGATGTTTTACACACATTAGGGATGGTGGCAGTGGTGTAGATGGTACTATTTATCCCACAGATTTTGCAGACTACATAAAGTGCTGGTGTGGGGTGTATTTTTTCCATTTGGTTCCCTAATTTCATGAAAGTGCCACCTCATTTTTATATTCATAAGCCCAATATTTATTTTCCTTTTGTTCAGAAAGACACAGAAGATGCAGAAACACTCAAGGAGAATGAAAAAGAAGTGGGAGAAAAATCAAAACCAGTAAGTCTATTTAATGCGTCACCGTGAGTCTTCAAATTACCCACCCACATACATGCAGTCAAAAATACTCACACTTCTTATTCCATACCTTTCACCACTTCCTTCTTCTCCTCCCTGCATGACTTCCTCTTATCAAACCTTCCTGTCGTCATGCGCTAGTGCCTTCAGTTACACTGCATCTGTTTTTGGGTTTTTGTGTGTGTGTGTATGTGCCCTTGTGAGGTCAACAGTAACATGAACCAGTACGAAAGAAGGGAAAGGAGTGCAGCTATCCTGGTCCCATCCAGACCAACTCAGGAGGCTCACATGCAGTCAAACACCGCTGCCTCTTTGTGTGACGTGTGGTCTTTGTTGGAATATTCTAACTTCTGCTCTCTTTGTTGATGTGATTTCGTTGAGCAGGAGGTGAAGGGGACGTCGTCACATGACAAAGTAAAACCAAGAAGAAGTGAGGATAACAACGTACGGTTTGCATTTCTCAGGTTTTGCTTTAATTGCCCATAGTTTTATTATATTTGAGGGAAGCTGTTACAATACAGATTAGATCATTTGAGTGGCTTTAAAAGAATCAAAATGTTTAAAATGCACTGCTTTGTATAAATAGAAAGCCAGTACTCTCATTAACTGGCTGTTTCACATTCAGTTTCAGCTTTGGAACAAGTATTTTATTTTTGTCCTGTACAGGAAGGCAAAGACATGACCTCCAGAGAGAGGAAAGAAAAACCTGCAAAGCCTCCTGCAGTTCCTGCCCGACCATCAGAAGAGGTGAGCTCCCTGAGTTTAGGGAATAGTTTCTGTCTGTGATGATGTGTATTAAAGCACTACTTTAAACCCTTATCGTTTAGAAAACTGTTGTGGTTTAATTTCAGGAGCTGAACAGAATAATTAGACACAGTCGACAAGAGCAGAACAACCAACAGGTATTAACATTTTCATACAGTACAACGATTAGACTCTAAAAAAGGGTTTAATGTTATTTTAGACAAGTATTGATTATCAACTGATTATCAGAAGTTGACTATGACGGATGGTTCTTTCTGACCGCCACTACAAAAAAAGATGAAAAACTTAGATGAAATTAGCCAGAAATGTCTATTCTTCTCTCCTGGATAAGCAGAAGAAAATGGATGGATTGACGTCTTTATTCTTGTGAAGAATTGAAGTTTCTCCTTACGTTTCATTTTAGCATGTGAGCAAACCTGTGGGATCAGATATAACTGATCAAATGTTTGGCTAACCGATTCATAATATCGTTATCTGCTACTTCAGTACGTTCCTGCACAATACAAAAAAACATTGCAATTAACTGATTAGTTTAATTTGCGGCAGAGACCATCAGGTGAAGAAGGTGTGAAAGGAGATGAATCTGCTGTAGCCAAAGACGGCGATGATGAGAAGAACCCTCCGAAGGGCAAAACGTTACATTTGTCTTGTCATCATTGTGGGTCAGACTAGACCCTCTGCATATGCCAGTTTTTTGGGTTTTCAAAATAATACATATCTATATAGATGGACCGATCTAAATAGAATGACGTGTGTGAGCCTGTGGTTGTTGGGTTTTTTGGGGTTTTTTTATACTGTATGGTATAAAAGCTTGTGTGCTGCTACATGCCGATGAAAACAAACCTAAAGTATTTGTGGTGGCTAATCCTAACTTTTCAAGTTCTTGCTTCCTTCTTATCGAGTGTTTCATGTCATAGCCACACATGCAAATGTCTGCATTGTGACACCTCGTGGTTTTTACTCCTCGCGTGGAGTTTTAACCCCTTCGCTACCTTGTCTTTTGCTCATACTAATACTGTTTCATTGCCTGCTCGTGTTATACATTATGTGTCGTGTCAATCATTTATCAAAGATAATAAAAGCAACTTAATTACTATTTCACCTTTCCACCTAAAACAAAGTCGCCTGTGGCAGAATTTACAACAGTAGCAATATTGAAACATTTGAAAATACATAAAATGAGTAAGAAAAACAACAATAGCATGCTCAGACGCGTTGCTATGACAACAAGCAGGCAAACAAGAACTGTGTCCTAATTCCTAGGCCGCATCCTTCGAAGGACCTGACATTTGCGGTCTACGTGGGCTGGAGTAGAGTAATATTAAAACGAAGTAGCTGCTGCCATTGTTGGAAACTGGAATTGGCTGGGCCGCACTATGAATTCTGGGATAGGTTGGGCCACGAAGGATACTACCGACCCATCCTTCAAATCCGGGGAAATGAAGGACACAGTTGTTGGCTGCATTTGGAGCAGCCTTCGAATTGGGACAGCCTATGTCACGTCCCTGTAACATAATAGGCCTTCACTTGCGGCCTCTGAAGGATGCGGCCTAGTAATTGAGACACAGCTAAGGTGCTACTGGGTTGTAATGGAAAACCAGTCAATCCGAGTCGAACCCGGTACTGATGGAAAAGGGGCTATAGTGTTGGGACAAAACCCCCTGAAAGCACCTCTCAGCCCCTCCTTTATTTTAAGCCTTGGTGGGGGAACCTCTAAAAAGATGCACTTTAAGTTTCCAACTCAGGAGTCATGACTTTATTCAGATATTTTACTTGCTTGATAGTTTTGGTATCTTAATAAAGTTTATAGCATACTTTAATAAAAAAAACACACAGTGAAACAGTATCAGCCATGGATTGGCCTCCCCAACCTAAACGTTACTGTAGCAGTGTCGGATCATCTGGAAAGAAAACAGAACAGAACATGATACTTCTTTTTTCACAGACTTAAAGTGAAAAAACACAAGTATCACAATCCATTTATTGCACATTTACGTTCGGCAGCTAAGCGATAGCCGTCATACACCAGACTTGTGTTTTATTTTACATTGTTCATTACCAGGCTGGTAAGTGTATTTAGTTCATTGGGCTCACTTGCATTATTGTGTTTTTATTATTTACTTTTATTTATTTACTTCAGGATGCAACTGATGATGAAGGGCTCAAAGCTGATGAAGAGTCCGCATCCAAAGATGAAAAGAATGAAGAGGAGGGCAAGGGGAAAAAAGAGGTTTTAACCTAATTTCTACATTTTTACTCTTGTGTTTTAAGTGATAAAAATAATGCAATAATTATTTTTTTATAGGAGAAAATAAAATAAAATTATTTGACCTTTTTATTTGTTTTCTTTTTAGACTAAAGATAAGAAAACAAAGAAACACATGGCACATATCTATTTTTATATCTATACTCATCAGTAGAGAAATAGAAAGGTCTGCGGTTGTGACTAACAAAAACCAGGACGTGATGATTATTATTTCATGCTCATGTTGACCTTTTTATTGTTTTGTTTTTCTTATTTACTTCAGGCTGCATCGGATGATGTGGGGCTGAATGCAGATGAGGAATCTGCATCCAAGGAGGAAACGAATAAAGAAGAGGTCAAGGAGGAAATGGAGGTCGTTAAGCTACATTCCTTCTGTTCATGAACAGCTTTTTTTTAAGTTGGCACAAACATTTATTCATTTTACTGCAGGAGTATTTCAGTGTTTGACCTTTACAATAATTCTGAGATCTTTTTTTGTTTTTATTTTATTTTTTTCTTTTAGACCAAAGTCAAGAAAAAAAAGAAGCACAACCCGTTCATGCCTGATGTAAAGGTAACATTGAAACATGCAACATGTACAACCAGTTCTCTTCCATTTTGGTTTACACAACACAACCAAAGCTTTCCCCGACATTCTCATAAAAAAGAATCAGTCAGTCGTCACGAGAATGGCTCTGTACCTTTTGTGGAGCTGACACTGAGCTGGAGAAACCAGAATTTGAGCAGACTGATTCTACCTGACATCATGCTACATGCCACTTTCATGAAAAGCGTATCCACCCATTTATTCTGTGTAAATTATCATTAGAGAAGTCTAATGATCAGAATGGCAATCCTCCTGGCACTTAACAGTGAATACTATATTTCTCTGTATTTTTATTCATCTTTAGGCATGAGAAAAGATTTTTGAACCTTTTTTGAAACATGTACTTTTCAAAGACTTTTTTACATGTCCACTTAGGTGGACAACACTGGCTGACCAGTTGGTGGCACTATGCACGAAAGGGTTAAAAGCCACAGAGACGCTGTGTTTGGGGGGAAAATGCATCTCAACTGTGTTCTGATCACTATGGGTTTCTTGCCTAGACAGCAGTTGTCCTTCTCTCCTGGATCGGCTATAGCTTTTAGGTGCCTTGCCACACTGGACACCCAGTTTCCAGTACCTGGGTGTCCACATCACTCAGGACCTGTCATGGTCCTGCCCAGTGTTGCACAAGTTACTTTGAAAAAGTAATTAATTGTAGTTACTAGTTACTTCTTCAAAAAAGTAACTGAGTTAGTAACTGAGTTAAAATATTCTAAAAGTAAATAATTACTTGAAAAGTAACTATTGCGTTACTTTTAAAAAAAAATGTTTAACCCTCTGGGGTCCAGGGTATAACTTTTGATTTTCCCTCTACATTTTACCTTTAAAAACCATTTACCTATGACACCAAACAAATCAAACTTGTTTGGTGTCATTATTTTCAGCACAACCTCACGTGTCTGAATTTACAGTTATGTTTTCATTTTGACATACTGTATTAACACAATTGATCTAAAATCACACAAAAAACATACAATCCGAGTAGAAAAGGTTATATTTCTATAATTCAAATATAATTCATTTCTATATTTCAAATATAAATTGTCAATTTTAAAATCCTATGCACAAGTTTTGCAAACAACAAAGTTATTTGCAGCCATTTACCTTTTAACTTGATTTTTTAAATAACCCTTTCAAACTATTTACAGAACAATCAGCTGTTCTGCATTCAATAAGATGCCACACAAATAATTTGTGCCACTCCAAAAAAATAATTTCTGTCCACTATAAAGGAGAACATCACAGCCTGATACCTGCAGGTCTGACAGCAGCATGTGTATCACTCCTGTATTCTACCTCTATCATTTTTGATTGGTCGACATGGTGCATTTTTCCACCAACACGAAAGGGCAGTTTTTGTGTTTTGTTTTTTTATTTTTTGCTCATAAGTAGAGAGTGCTTGCTAGCGCTGTCCTTAGACAGTAAACGTGGCGTATATATTGTTTATCATTACTCTGTACTCTGTAAAAACTTAATTTGTAAATATTACTGTCAATTCTTACTATCACCTAATGGTCGGGCACAACAATAAGCATTTCACCTCATGTCATACTGTGTATGGTTGTATGTGTGACAAATAAAACTTGAATTTGAATTTGATTTGCCAGCTTTGACAAATGTCCAGATGGGGTAACCACATTTACTCAGGGCCTTCTTGATGTTCTTCTGCCTCCCTGGCCGCTGTGTCCGTGGAGATGGTGTTCGCTCTATGTTGTAGTGTCCTGATGACACCCAGTTTGTGCTCCAGTGGTTGCTGTGATTGCAGCCATTCCCCAACTCTCTGTGAATGGTACTCATGGCCATTGCTCAATGGTCTTTGATCAATGATCAGTGGTCTTTGATTGGTGGTTGTTGATCAATGGTCATGAAAATTTGCATATTAATGATCAAGGAACTGACCTCACAGCCCATTGTTCATTCAGTTGGCTGGTTTCAGTCATTGTGCAAATGTACTGTTTATAAGATTGGGGAAACCTGCAGTCAGCTGAGACTGAAGAAGTCACTTGGATGAGTAACGAAACGTTTCTCCCACTGAAAGCGCTACCTTTTGAGATTTACTTAAATAGATTATTGAGCATGCATCAAGCTGAAAATATGCTTGACTTTGTGCCAGGGACTGACTGTTCTCAGCTCTCCCAAAGATCTAAATGCCTGTAACAACAGACCTGAAACCATATACTGCCAAGAATTCCACAGGTTCCCGGGACGAACCCAGTCATAAACTTTCTCCAGGTCTACAAAGCACATATAGACTCTAAGTCAAACTCCCACGATCCCTCTAGAAGTTGTCCGATAGTAATGATCTGGTCTACTGTTTCATGTCCAGGACAGAATAAGCATTCCTCCTCCTAAATCCAAGGTTTGACAGTTAGCCTGTGTAGCATTCTGACATCAACTGTCCTATGGTGGATGAACAGTGTGATACCCCAATAAATAGACCATACCCTCCAAACCCCTTTTTGAAAACCACCACAGCACTGTGACACAAAATTAAAGAGGCACGTCAACCAAGACAGCCCTACATTGTCCAGAGCAGGGGTCTCCAACTCCAGTCCTGGAGAGCTACTGTCCTGCAGCTTTTAGATGCATCCTTGTTCCAATAAACCTGAATCAAATGAATGGCTTGTTACCAGGCTATTGCCAAACGTGATGGCATGCTGAAGAGGTAATGCAACCATTTTCAACTGTGTTGGAGTAGGGATACATCTGAAAGCTGCAGGACAATAGCTGGGCTACTCCAGTAGGATTGGAGTTGGAGACACCTGGTCCAGAGCCTGTATCTGGTGGCCGATCAGGGAGCTTTTCAACTACCCCAGTGACTTCTGCTATTGACAAATGGTGAAGCTTCCCCCAGGCTTTCAATCTTGCATGAGCTTTGAATGGCATAAAAATTACCCAAAGACAGAAATAGAACAGTGTAACTTGGCTCTAACTACGATGTCTCCAAAATTGCTTCTCCCTTAAATTCTTGAGCACTGAACTCTGTTTGAGCTCATAAAGAATTTTGATTGAGGTGGTAAAAAGACCTGATATACTGTTACACAAACAGAATTTGTTTATTTATTTCTTTGAGAAATGAATAAACAAACTAGCTCCAAATTTCTCTGCTGTTCTTAAGCAAAGCAGTATTTCTGTGTTGTTTTGGCAGGTAAGCTTACATAAATTAATTACCATGGCCTACCTTCTTGAGCAATTCACTGACCTAGTCTTAAACCTGAATACCAAAGAAAGTGAAAAGGAAGAAATTGTATGTTTTTTCCTTCTTCAACTATTTTTTTTCCTTGAAGAAAAATTACTTATTTAAATGATTTATTTATTTTATGTCTAAGATCATAAAACATCCAGATAAGTCCTGTGTTGGTATTACAAACGATTGAACTGTGTGTCTGTGTTTGTTTATTTCAGGCCAAAGTGATACAGAGACGTGCACAAGAAACAGCCCAAGCAGAGGTAGACAATATAATCAAAATAATATGTCAAGAAACTTTCTTTCTTTTCTTTCCTTCTCCCTCTCAACCCCTCGCACATCAAACTTTAAAACCAAAAGCAACTTTTTAACCTCTTTTGTTTTTTATCTCAGAGTCTCACTGTATTTGCCCACTACATTGACATTTTGCTGGTTTAACCACTGCTGTTCAGGACTTACAAATTACCATTACAAAAAGCCTGTTTTTGTCACAGAATGCCTCCTTCTTCCACTCTGAAAACAAAGACTTACAGTCTTTGCAGAACTTGTCTCTAGAGTGTCTGCTCACCTTCCAACAGACTCACTTGTGGTCTACATGTTTTTCCCCTTTTCAGTGCTGACATGAAACCCACACACAACAGCCGCAAAATGTTTGTGCATGTCTATGCCATGGAAGATGCGACGAGATTAGGCTACAATATGCCCAGACTTCTTTCTCTGCTTCCTTTTTCCCCTGTTGAGTCCTTTAACTTCTGCAAAAACAGCAGAAATAAGTCACTATTCCCAGAATCCCTTTCACCAAAAACTTCCTCCTCTTTAGATGCGCAACAGCCATGTAAAAAATGAAACTGACCAAATGTGTTGCATGATAATGTCATTCATGCTCAAGTACTGTGTATTTTTTTCAGTTTCACTACAGACACAATCTTTTGTTGAAGTAATTATGATTAAAATGGTGTTTTGATATGTCATTTTATTATTTACTATTTCTTTCATCTCAGAGTGAAGGTGCGAACAGGTCTGTGTTTGACCAGCTAGAGGACTACCGTATTGGCACTGCCTCAACTGAACATAGTAATGTAGGTTTTTGACATTTTAATGGGGTCTTCACTCATTATTTGGAAAGCAAAAATAACAAACATGGAACCTGATGATGTCTTTCAGGATGTGGATCTTATGGAATGGTGGGAAACTGTGGAGCGTAAGTTGAAAATGAAATGTTTTTTTGTTTTTTTTTAACCACTAATCCCATTAAGCACCTTTTGAAACATCAACTGCTGAGTAATTCTTATCCCTCAGCATTAGAAACTAACTTCACTCATGTTCTTGTGGTGAAATGGAACCAAATTCTTTCAGCCAGATGTTAAAATCAGGTAGAAGGCCTTTTTTAAGAGTTGATGCTGTTATCGCAGCAGATTAATATCATGCATGAGTGTAATAGTTTTGCATTCACATACTTTTGGGCCACTAAGATGCACAAAATGATGATAAATCATTCTTTTGTTATTTTTTTTCAGAATGGAAAGACCCACCTCACCATAAAGACATGACAGAAAAAGAAGAGGCCAAGTAAGCTTTAATATGCTTTAATATAGGTGTTTATATTTCATTAAATGCAGTTTTTGGTCTTTCAGGGGTCTGTTCTGCTATACTTGTTTTTACAATATATTATCTTGATTTAAATGCATCAATTTAGGGAGGCAGCACATTAAAATGTCTTTGCAGTGTCTCTTAAGAAGATGGTAGCATTTTATGTTGATTTCCTTATTAACCATTAAATCGAGGCTGCTAATTCCTTGTCGCCTGCTATCTTTGCCAGAAGGTTTAGTCTGCTCTGATGGCTAAGATTCAAGAATTGAATATAAAATATTGCTTTGGTATCTTCCTTTGTTGCCATATTGTTATCATATTGTGATGTGAATAAAATGTAAAAAGTTATTCTGGAGCTTCTCAAATATTGCTAGGCCCACCATTGGATAACACAAAATGTATAATATATCTGCATCATAAACATCCACCATGGAGAACTGAAGAAGCTCATACCCCGAAACGACAACACTTAACTTTTCTCCTGAGGAAGGATAATCAATAATCAATTCCAATGAAAACAGTGGTGTGAATAATCTTTAAAAAAAAAGGTTTGATGTTTTGTCATGCTTTGAGAAACAAGATATTTTGCTTTCCTCAAAATCACTAGTTAAATATCATATATATATTTTGGTTAATTAACAAAATGGCCTTTTTTGATGGAGTTACTTTGTATAATAGGACTCAAATTTCTTTTCTCAGGGCCTTTGCTTTGACCGCTGAGAAGCTGCAGAAGGGCATCAGAGTCTTCAACAAACTGTTCACGGAGCGGGCAGAGAGCCTCTGGAAGCATGTCATTGACCTCAACAGCATCGCTGATGGGCTCGACAAGTTCAGCAAGAACACAAAGATCGCTCAAATCACAGGCGGCTCCACCAGCGCCGTTGGGGGCGTCGCCACTGTTGCTGGCCTCGCCCTGGCTCCCTTCACCATGGGAACTTCCTTGATTGTGACTGCAGTGGGACTGGGCATTGCCGCGGCAGGCGGTCTGACATCAGCAGGTGCCGGCATCTCCAACCAGGTCAACAACACCATGGACCGCAAGAAGGTGGAGAAGATTGTGCAGGACTACCAGGAGAAGATGGAAGACATCAACAAGTGCCTGACGTTCATCAAACAGGGTATTGAGAACCTGCGAAGGTTCGATCTGATCAAGATGAAGAATAGCGCATACAATCAGGACTTTCCTTCACTTACTAGCAGATTCTATGAAGATGGCGCCATGGCAGGAAAGGCGATCCTCCTCAATGCCAATGAGATCATGCGTTTTGTCCAGTTTGCCCATGTAGCAGGTAGCACCGCAGCCAGAGCAGTCCAGATTGCTAGTATGGCAACCGGTGTGCTTAGTGGACTCTTTGTAGTTATGGATATCTACTTTGTGTCCAAAGACTCCAAAGAACTCAAGAAAGGGGCAAAATCAGAGTTTGCTGCCAAAATCAGGGAGGTGGCGCAACAGCTGCACGATGGTCTGGTGGAGCTGAACTCAATACATCAAGAGCTGCAGTTCAACTCACCAGAAAAAGACTCTGAGAAGACCACCAAAGATCTGGACAGTGAGAAAAAAGAGAAAGACAACAAAGAAAAGAAAGAGAAGGATGGAAAAGATTTGAACAGTGAAAAGAAGAACAATGACAGCTCAGACGAAGATGAAATCGACCGCATTAAAAAAGCCATCAAAAAGGATCTTGAGAACAGAGAATATGTTTAACACATAACTAGGAAGTACTTTCAGCTTTGCTTCCTTGTTAAGGGTTAAAGGAAAACTCAGTCCGATTCCCAAAAGACAAGCAAATGTTTTGTATTTTACTATCTATGAGGTGGTTGGTGCCAGATTTTTAAAGTAAAACTGCAATCAGGCGTATTTTAATTGTCCAAAAGGAGCCCTTAAAGGTTAAAATATTAAGTTAAATATCTAAACATGAAATAAAGGATCCAACTTCTTTAAAGATGCATTTGCCTTGATGATATTGGTGTGTTTCAGATAACATCAAGAATGGCTGATTAGTTTTGTATATTTTAATGAAAAGAGCAAATTTAAAAAAAGGTAACTGGATTTTGTACTGCTGCACCAGCTGTTTGGAAACCCTAGTTTGGACTTTGCTTAAGTTTATAGCTTGTTTCCATCTAGTGGGTCATTCCATAAAAAATGGCTGCCCCATTTACCTTCAGGAATGACTTAGCTGCTCGCAGTGTTTTAAAACAGTCGAACCTCTGTAGAGCTAGAAGCTACTGAGCGTGTACACAGGGACTTACAATCTATAACATGACTTCCAAAGCGAACAATTTTAGAGGTTGTGGTGATATGTTAACTGCCTGTCCTTTTGTAAATGTGTTGCAGTTACCGTATTTTTCGGACTATAAGGCGCACTTAAAGTCCTTTAATTTTCTCAAAAATGCGCCTTATAATCTGGTGCGCCTTGTGTATGAATTCTGGTTGATCTTACTGATCTCGAACCGATTTTATGTGGTACACGACGCTCAAAAATGTGTCAAGAAATGTTTTAGTACGACTTTGCTAAGCTACGAAGCCCCACCGCTTGATGGATTGTCGGAGCATTATGGCTACCGTAGTTGGGAGCCTCGCAGAGTGATACGTACGGTGCTTCAACATAATATTGCCGTATTGTGTGTATAAGGACCACAAAATGGCACATGTTAAGAGACATACTTACGAAGCAGATTTCAAAGTCAAGGCTATCAGTCATGCAGTAAAACGTGGGAATAGAGCAGCTGCAAGAGAAGTCAACATTAATGAATCAATAGTAGGGAAGTGGAGGAAGCAAGAAGAACGAGTTGAGTAAAGTTTGACTTATCTGACTGTTTTGTTTGCTTAATGCGCCTTATAATCCGCTCTGCCTTATGGTCCAAAAAATACAGTATACATATATTAAGAAATGCATTTCTTTCAGTTGGTATTATGGAGTTTAGCACTGATGGAAAACTTTTATTTTAATTTTCTATTTAGCTTTTTGTTGTTGTTGTATTTTGTTTTCCTTCCCAGTATACATAATTGGTAAATAATATATTTCAAATCATGTTTTCATGCAAAACTATATTAACTTTAACATAGTTTAGATAGTTAATTAGCAGGTAATTTTATTTGGTTGTCAGTAAACTTCAAGGTTTTAACCAAGCTAAGTTTGAACTTATTAACAGTTGTTCACTTAAACAGTATCAGAAAAGGACTCATCTGAATGAAACTGATTGGTTTGTAATCATGTTTCCTCTCAGATGATTTCATTTTGTCCAGGAGTAAAACAAACATGAGGTTAAAAAAACCAAAGTCTGAGTTGCTTTTTCCTGAGAAGATTAGTTTTTATTATTTTTATTATTTCAGGGTTGAGGGTTAATTAGCTGTCTGCACTGGAAGCTCTGATGGTAAAAGCTCTGTGGGCTGTTTTATAACCGTTAAATAAATGTATATTTTCTGTGCTGGGTGAAGTTGATCGTTTAGTGATGCCTTCTTTGTGCAATATTCTGTTCAATATATGTCCATCCATCCATTTGCTTCCGCTTATCCTTTCTAGGGACATGGGGGCGCTGGAGCCTATCCCAGCTGTCTTGGGGCGAGAGGCAGGGTACACCCTGGACAGGTCGCCAGTCTGTCAACAATGGCAATGATTATTCTGTTACCTTTAAATAAAATGTTACTTGATGTTTATGCTTTTTGTAATTAATCACAGATCTGTCATGTCTGCCACACACACACACACACACACACACACACACACACACACACACACACACCAGATAAATGCATCCCTTAGGTCCTGTGTCAAGTCTTTACTGGATTTTTTAAAAACTAATTATTGACTTTTAATTACTTCCAAAACATATTTTCT